CTCCAGGCCTTCCCCATACTATTGTCTGTGTCCATGGGTTATGCAGATATGTTCTTTGGTTAATGTCTTCCCACCCCACTCCCCCTTTCCCTCTGAGATCCCTCAGTCTGTTCCAGGCTTCCATGTCTCTGGATCTATTTTGTTCATCAGTTTATTTTGTTTTTTAGATTCCACATATGAGTGAGATCATGTGATACTTGTCTTTCTCTGCCTGGCTTATTTCACTTAGCATAATACTCTCCAGGTCCCTCCATGCTGTCCCAAAGGATAAGATATCTTTGTTTTTTACAGCTGCATAGTATTCCATTATGTTAACTCTTAATGAAATTATCACTTTAGTCGACTTTTATATTAATGAACCATTTTAAATTGTGTTTTTTCAATTCAAAATAAATTTCACCTTCTATTTAATTTTCCTCATTTTAGACTTTAACATTTTGACAATACCTTATACCTTAATTAAAGGTTCTAAAAAATCTCTATCTCAAATCACCTAAAGTCCTTGAATAGGTTATTATAGAAAATACTATGTTATTATACAAATAATTTTTCAGTCATTATTTGTCTCTTCCATGTTTACTTAATATGGAAGGAAAATAATTTCTTACTTCCCACTGGTGATGACAACTTTTTTATTATAGTACATAATTTAAAGTTCTTTACTGGACAAAAGGATATTCAAATAAGACAGAGCAGTTGAAATATGTTGACTTTTGCAAGATAATGTTGCTACTCTTTATCTGTGATCATTGGATATAACCTTTCCTCCCTAGATCACTTAATGCCTTTAGGGACATCAAACATCCTTGAGTATTGCTTTTATAGAACTCACCTGTATTACTAATTTTGCTTTGTATTTTCTACCATACATTTGGGGTTTAAAACCCACCATGAGGGTAATGCCATTACTGTCAAAAGGAGGAATTTCTCCAGACTGAGGTTTTACGAAAAACTCAGGATCACTCTCAGGTAGGAAGTATGCAATGAATGGATCAGCATATCTGAAACAAAAATATAAATATCATCTTTAAATTTTATCATTACCCCATTCTCGTTGTGAGAACTTGATGCACAGAGCTTACATCCTGCTGTGCTGGACTACAGTGGAACACCCAGGCTGCCATGCAGCTGTGAGTCTGATACTTGTAAGTTGATGGAATGCTCACAGAGTAACAGCGAGGAGGCATTTGAAAAATTACTGAAGAGTGTCATTCTTCCCAGGATGACAAAATGAAATCTTAAAGATGTTTTTCAATCACATCTTATATGTACAGTGTACAAAGAAAAAATGTTTTTCCTATAAAAATTGGAATAACCCAATGTCCTAAATGAAAATTCAGTCATTTGTAAAGAAATGCATATTTGAAATGCTTGATCTCAACAACTATTGTAAAGCCACTGTTTTTACTACTATCCCAACGTGATATTTGCTCCCTCTCGTTTTCCACTTGTGAAGTGAGATGACAGTAGGTTACAGGCTCATTAAAGATATCTGGGCCTGAAGATGGGTTGCTATGATCTGAAGTGAAGTGAGTGACATTTAAGATTAGAGTGGCCATCTTCCTGTCAAGGGTGATTACATTTATGATGAAGGCAGTGAACGAAGTTGAGGAATTCTTGGTAGAATAAAGCAGGAGAGAGGCACAGTGCATGGGAGGTTGTGAGAAATTTAAAATCCAAACTGACAGGGGAGATGCAGGTACAAGGTAAAGAACAGTTTCCTAGAACAGATCTACCAGTGAAACATAGAAGATATGGAAGGTTCAGGTTGGGGCTTACTCATCCATTCAGCAAATGTGTACTGAGTATCATGACAGAAGTTTAAAAAGTGGACTTTGGGTATGGATGGCCTAGAATGAAATCCCAGCTCTATCTACGTTCACGACTTCAGGCAATTTACTTAGCCTTTCTGTACCTCAGTTTTTGTATCTGTTAAATGAAGTTAATTCCATAAAGCCATTAAATCAGTGCCTGACACATGGAAAGAGCTCTATAAGGCTTAATCAAAACTGATATAGTCATCATTATGATTGTTGTCGTTTTGAAACATTTTATTACCAGTGCTAGGCATTGATGGATAATCCAATTCTGAACAAAGTCCAGTACTGGAAATACAAAAGACAGAGGAGATATTAGAAAGAAATGAAACCTATATATTGGCTGAGAAGATAAGGTGCATGCTTTAAAAGAAAAACAACAATTACTGGTTTACGTAATGCTATAGGAGTTTAAGGTCTGACTGGTCAAGTAAAATTTTATTGTGATGAGAAGAACAACGAGTAGAATTCAGAAGGTTGGAGAGGTGATGTGAAGGGCATTTAGAAGCAGAAAGAAAATGAAGACAAGTGAGAAAGAGTAATGGATAAGACAGGCTCTGATAATAGTCACTCTTTCCCATAAGACTGAAAAAGATGATCTATTTTAGACAGCAAAGACAGAAAATGTGGAAGGTTTGAGTGAGCTAGGACCATGAACTGCATATACAATTTAGATGCCACCTTGGCTAAGAAACACAGAACTATCAAATGCTTTTGACAAGGGAAGTTATATGCATGTTAATAACATTGTTTTAAGGAAATTGGTTTTACAACAGTGTATAAAATGGATTGGAAAGAAAGAAACTACATAAAGAATTAGGAGTAGCAAATGGTAAAAACATTGTTTATAATTGAAAAATATAATTTGGGGGTCTTATTCCAAATGTGTTTTTTCCCCCCAATATTGCATTTGAGCAAATTATTGGTTATGAGGAAATCAGATGAAACTATTCCACCAACCCTGGGAAGCTTTTTGAATGCATTAAATAAATTTACATGTAAACCAAAATATCTAATAATGAAATATCTTTGGAAGTTGTAAATAAGACTACAATGGATTCAATACGGCTAAGTGAAACCCAGTCTTATCCAATGCAAGAGCTCCAAATACAACAGGTGAATATACATTTATGTGTCCACCATTCATTTCAAACTAAGTACATAAAATGCATCCAGTCATGCCTGGTACCTTTGTGAAGTTAATTTTTGTGGTACATACAAGGACTAGCATGAACCACCATGAAACACAGTTGGAAGACTGAAACTCCTTGACTTTAAGAATTACTGTAAAGTTACAGCAATTAAGACAGTTTGGTATTGGTGAAAGAATAAATAAATAGAGCATGGAACTTAAGAGACTCCACATATAGTCATAAATATAGTCAACTTATCTTGGAAAAAGGAGCAAAGGCCATACAATGGAGCAAAGACGGCCTCTTCAACAAATGCTGCTGGAACAACTGGACAGACTCATGCAAAAATATTAATCTAGACACAACCTTACGCCCTTCTCAAAAACTAAGTCAAAATGGATAGTAAACCTAAATGTAAAACACAAAACTATACAACTCCTAGAAGTTACCATAAGAGAAAATCAAGATGACTCTGGGTATGGTGATGTCTTATTAGATACAACAGTGAAGACATGATTCATGAAAGAAAGAATCAAGACTCTGTGAAAGACAATGTCAAGGGAATTAGAAGATACCCACAGACTGGGAGAAAATGTTTACGGAAGACACACCTGATAAAAGACTTATATAAAATATACAAAGAACTCTTAAAATTCAACAATGAAGAAACAAGCAGCCCATTTTAAAAATGGGCCAAGGACCTTATCTACACCTCAGCAAGGAAGATATGCATACAGCAGGTAAGCATTTGAAAAGATGCATCCCATCATATGTCATCAGGAAAATGTAAACTAAAACTACAATGAGACACCACTACACTTCTAGTAGAGTAGCCAAAATCCAGAACACTGGCATCATCAAATGCTTGTGAGGATGTGGACTAACAGGAACACTCATTCGTTGTTGGTGGGAGTGTAAAGTGGTACAGCCACTTTGCAAGACAATTTGGTGATTCCTTACGCAACTAAATACGCTCTTACCATAGAATCCATAGGATCCAGCAATTGTGCTGCTTGGTATTTACCCCAAAGAATTGAAAACTTTATATCCACACTAAAACCTGCACCCAGATGCTTATATCAGCTTTTTTCATAACTGCCCAAAACTTGGAAGCAACCGAGATGTCCGTTAGTAGGTGAATGGATAGATAAACTGTGGTACAACCAGGCAGTGGAATATTATTCAGTGCTAAAAAGAAATGAGCTATCAAGACATGGATAAACCTCAAATGCATATTACCAAGTAAAAGAAGCAAATCTGCAAAGTCCTTATACTGTATGATTCCAATTATATGACATTCTGGAAAAGGCAGAACCACATTGAAAAGAGAAAGATTAGTGGTTGCCAAGGGTGGGAGAGAGATGAACAGGGAGAATACAGGGGACTTTTAGGGCAGTGAGAATACTCTGTGTGACACAATCATGAATATGTCATCATGCTTTTGTGCAAACCCATGGAATGTTCAACACTAAGAGCGAACCCTAAGGTGAACTATAAACTTTGGGTGATTATGATGTGTCAGTGCAGGTTCATCCTTGTTAAAAAAATGTACCATTCTGGCCAGTGATGTTGATAATGGAGGAGACTGACTATCTCTGCGTGTGTCGGGCAGGGGGTGTCAGAAAAATCTCTGTGCCTTCCTGTGAATTTTGTTGTAAACCTAAAATTGCTTTTAAAAAAGTTTTGAAACAGACATACTTAGTGACTTTATTTATATGAAATATCCAGAGAAGGCAACATTATAGAAACAGAGAGCAAATCACTGCTTTCCTGAAACTGTGCGTGAGAGTGGCTGTGATTGCAAAGGGGCTTGAGGGCAATTTGGGAGGGGAGGTGGGAGTGTAATAAACCTGGAATGTGGTTATGATAGAAAATTCTATAAATTTTCAAAAAAATTACTGAAAGGTACACTTACCAATGGGTGAGTTTTATGGTATGTACATTATACCTCAACCCATTAAAATTCACTGGAAAACATTCCATTTATCTTTGAAAAATACATTAAAACACCATTTGAAAAACAAATAGAAACATTATCTTAAATTTCAATATCTAATTATTTACTTTTGCTTCTTGTTTTTTGTTCTTCACCTTGTAGACCCTATTTTCAAATAAAAATTAGGAAATATATAAAGCTTTGAGTCAGAAGCAATACTGCTCTGGCTTAACCAGCAAAAGATGACATAAGAGAATTTTTCATCTTAAATTTTGTTTCCCAGTTCAGCATAAATTACATTCACAACGCCAGTTACATACTCTGGCTTGATATACAGTACCTTTTCCGACCAGACAGCCAGAAATCAGTAATAGCTTCCTTAAATAAGCCACTCCCTTCAATATCAATGACATCATCCACATCGGGCTCAGTAGCAACCAACGTTATGGGAAAGTTCCAGATCCCATCTGTTATGCACTCTATTTTCAGTGTAATTTGGGACCTGGAATAGAAAAAGAGATTAGAAAGGATACTACAGGAAAACAAGCAAAGAGAGTACAATACAGCAGGTCAATATCTAAGGGTCAAAATGTAAGCAAACACTGTGGTTTCAGTAAAAACACTGTGACTTTTTTTTAACCTGTGTTAAATTAGAATCATGACAATAATAACTACCGACCTCTTAAGTATTTGTATTAAACCCTTGGTCATTATTTTTATTATGTATAACACCATTCTGTGAAAGGATGGATGCTAAAAATTACATGAAAATTTTGTTTTCCTTTTTACCTTGCCAACAAGGAAGACAAGAACTGAATTTCATACTTATTTTAATTATCCAGGTAAAGCACGGTTTGGGTACAGTTATTTTTTGTTCTTGTTTTTCACAGTTTAGGGCTATTGGTTTTACTTTAGTTTTTCTCATTTAACTGTGTGTCTTGCAGTGAACCATCTCAAATATATGTGGAAGAAGGAATGATAAAAGTAAATGAACTTATAAAAATATGCACAAAATAGTATTATTAAACTACGTCAGAACATGACACAACATGCACAAAAATTTATGCATCACGCATACAAGTTGTCCTAAATAAGTTTCTCAAATATTCACCAAGAAGCTCTAAATCCACAAAATGTTAAATGAGTATAAATTCATATCGGCTCTGTTCATATTCACTAATGATAACATTTTCCCCTTCTGGTGTTGCTGGTAATTTCCGTATCACTAAATTAACACACTACAAAGCTAAGTGTGTAAGACTACTGACAAATAAACATAGAAAACTATGAAAATTAAAGAGAAGATAAAAGAGCATAATGTCAGTGTTTCGAGTGTACTTTCTTCTTGCAGCTTGATTTTATTACTGCTTCCTGAAGAGAAACCTGGTATCTTTTAGTTATTGGCCTGAATATTGAAAACCACTTCAAATACATGCCTGGTTACATCAGATCCATAGCTAAGCTATAGAAATGATTAAAGGCACAAGTAATACTTTCAATTGTTTTTTTCTTTGCCAGACTGTATTTTGTACTTTGTGCATATTGTGGTTCTGATCAATATCACTGCATCAAGATATAAATAAAGCACAATTTCAGATGTGACCTGACATATAGTATTTGCAGGTGCTAAGTATTAGTTGCCTAAAAAGTAAATATAAAGACCCTGGATGGGGCTTCCCAGTGGACAGACATTTAACGCTTGCTATTCTAACAAATTCCAATATAATCTTCTTAAACTTTACTAAAGTATGTGCAGAGTTATGGTTTTAGGTGGTAAAAAAGGGGAATGACAGCAATTATAAAGTGGAAAGAACATAGTTTAGGATTTTCATCATTTGAACTGGTTCTGAGAAATATCAAGAAACATCATGTATAGTGCCAAGCCAGGATTTCTTTTTGTTTTCATTTAAACATTTTATTATTAAAGTATAGTCGGCTTACACTATTAGATCAGTTTCAGGTGTACAACATTTCTGATTCGACATTTAGATACCTTACAATGTGAGCGCCACATTAAGTATAGTAACCACCTGTCACCATGCAAAGCTATCACAATATTATTGACTATATTCCCTTTTCCCTTCTTCATATTACAAAGCAGACTGTTCTCTTTTGTTAATATTATACCCTAATGACCTTAGGGAGGTCACAATTAGGGAAGGATATCTTAGATTTCTAATCATTTGGACTCTATTTTCTCATCAGACACTTTTCATAGCTTGATAGCTAGAAAAATAACCTAGCTCAAAATATTTACGTTAACAGCATCAAAGAAGTAATGCAACCCAAATATAGAAAAATGGAAAGAAAAATAAACATTATTTAGTTTAAAAGAGTAGTAATATTGTTTAAAGAAAAAAGGGGTAAAAGCAGGTTTACTTCAATGGTTTCTTTGGTGAAAATATCAGATTGAAGTCCAATGTTATCATTTGAGCCTTGATATTATAAGATCTCTTCATCGCATATATAGCCACGGAGGGCTGCAATTCAGACCTCATATCTTCAGATTCATATAGAATTTCATACTCAAATTCACGTTTTATAGGTATACCTAGGAAAATCAAGATTAAAGTGCATTTCATTTCAATTAAATATTTATAGATTGGACATCAGTTACATGTCAACACTAATCATGCGCAGGCATTTAGAGGCAGGGAGAGGGTAGATGTTATTTAGCTTTGTGTTCATATGCCTAGTATATTACCCGGTGCATAATAGTAAACAGTGTGTTTTTGTTAAAAGGTAAATAAATAAATGAATGAATATAGAAAATAATCGCCAAAGATAATTCCCACCATCTTTAAATCTTTAAAATTCAGATCTATAAAACAAGAAATAGCCAAATGGAAATGAATAATAAATATTTACTGTAAAATACAAATAATATGACATGCTCTATATAATAAATGTAGTATAAGCCTATAGATATAATTTATAAAGAAAGATTTGAATTAAGTTTCAATAAAATTAAAACAGTATCCCAATGTATTAGGGCAGGAGTTTCAAGTTCTGGTTTATTTTGCTAAAAGAGAAAGTTCTTCATGTTTTAGTCTTGGGGTATTACAGACAATATGTTTAACTGTATTTTCTTAACTAGTAGGTTACCAGAGGAAAGTTACAGGAGGGTTTTGTTATATACATGTGAAAAATATTTTAAAGCCAGGACTGGCACATAGAAGAGAAGCACAAATATCTATTATATTTATTCCCCAAATGCATGTAAGGAGCTCCAATTCCAAATCAGGGAGTTTGTTGCACGTGGGTCATGGAAGAAAGGTCAGAGAACCATGACTTGACCTGGTCAACAGCCGAGCTAATTTCTAGTCTATCTCTAGTGTATAAGGTAAATGTGATCCTTGGGTACACAAAAGTGATGGCCACCTTGCTCTAAGAAATCCTAACAGAAACCAGACCACTTTTCAGATATAGTTGATTATAATTTCTGCAATAGAACTCCGAAAAATAGCCTGGGTATAACAAGCCCAAGTCACATTTAATGGTTATTCAGCAAATCTTACTAATGTAAAATAAATGGCTGACCCATACCATCACAAGATTTCCTTTTTCATTTTCCACATGTGAAAATAAATCTCTGACTTTCTGAATTGCTGGTTTTATCCTGTTGACAAACTGGCAACTGCTGTTCCTATCGATAACCTTCTTTGCTATAGCAAAATCAGTATGTCTACATATATTGTGCCTATTTATTTTGAGGATGGGATATGGAAATGTTCCATAGGAAGCCATATTCCATACAGAGAAACAAAATTTAAGAAATTGAAGAGTGTTTAATGGGAGATGAAAGTCCCATTGCATTCAAATAACATACTATTTTTAAAAGCAAATACTGAACGTAGTTGAGATTTGCATCTGTTTCTGCTTAATTACTGAAGCTTTTATGGGAATGGTTGCATCAGAATGAAGATAGGAAAAGAGAAGTTAAATTTAGTTTCAGAAGCTTTGAGCCCCCTGTGGGGAATCTTGTCGCTATGGATGCCATAATTCCAATCCTGAGAAGATCCACCGGTACAAAATACAGAAATGCTTATCAGCTAGGGGTTGGAGTGGGGTGGGGAGGGGGGGGAAGCAAGTAGAAACCATATGAGTATATTTTTCAGACTACACATATCCCCCTTGCCTGTAACTTGAATACATTACTATGAGTATTTAAGGGAGAGAGACAGAATCATGTTGAAGAAAATCATGATTAAACTGACATTCTGTGGTGTCTTAAAGCTGATCTGTTGAGTCTCTGCATTTTATTGGAAAAGTCATATCACCAAGTAAGAAACATGCCTTTTGCTATTATCCTAATTTGGAAAGAATCTATACAGTATTTTTATGTGAATTGGGTTGATAAGAGCTAAGTCACTTAGCCCAGTGTAAATTAATTATCATCTGATTGTTGGATACAATTATTCTCTCATGACAAGCATAGCTCATAAGTTTAAGAGAATAACTGCACATTTCTAAAAAAGGGTGTTTAAATAAATGTAGTTTCCCATAGTACACATTACAATTTCAAAGCTACAAGTCAACAGTCCTTGGGACTACTGTAACAATTTTTTCAATATTGGAGGAAAATTCTGTCCTTTTATAGAAAACCCTTAAAAAAACACTTGAATTCATGAGATTAATAGTCAGGATAAATATATATTTAACTTCAATTGTGTTTTAATGCATATGTAAATATTTACTAGCCTCTGTTTTTTTCTATCTTACAATAGATAATGGTTATCACATGCTTGTTTTAAAGCACCTCCTATTTTCAATTGTGTCCTATTTTCTGAAGATTTTCATGAATACTAAGACCTATGAATTTTGCCCCAATGAAACTTTCTAGCTTTAGCTAAATTAATGAACAAGAGGCAGATAATTTTGTTTCCACATCCAACATCTAAATGTACTTTAAAAACATAACATTTTTCTTATCATTTACTCATTTTTTTATTCATTCAGTGAATAATAATTGAAAGCTTTCCTTAAAATGATGGGTCTTGTCCTCATGGAGCTTATGATTGAGAGGATAGAACTGCCAAAAAACTACCAACGATACCATTAGTTTTAAAAAATATTACTGTGATAACTGCTACTAGGCAGAAGTAAAGGGAGCTATGAGAGCAGAGGTCCTGGGAACCTGACTGCTAAGGTCTTGAGGAGGAGACCAATACACCAAACCGAAAGGCAGTAAGAATTACCTGGAGACAGAGAGAAAGAAAATGCCACCCAGGCATCAGAGAAGCATGGGGGAATTCTCTGCTAACTCAGAGAATTTGAGGAGAACTTATGTGGGCGGAGCAGAGAGAGCAGGAAGAACTTGTCAAGAGATGAAGCAGGCGAAGGTGGCAAGACCATGATGGGTAGTGAGGACTTGGGACTTTTAAGAATAATGGGATGCCACTGAATGTTTTAAGTATGGAAGTGATGAGCTCATTTAATGCACACTGAGCAAAAGGGGATTAGGAGATAAATTAATGAAGATTCTGCAGTAGTTCAGTCCAGGTTGTGGTTGGACAACGGTGAGAGGAGGCTGTAGATTAAGATCAAGAAATGCCCAGCTATGCCTGGCCCGCGGGGCTCAGTGGTTGAGTGTCAACCTATGAACCAAGAGGTCACGGTTCGATTCCCGGTCAGGGCACATGCCCTGGTTGTGGGCTCGATCCCCAGTAAGGGGCTTGCAGGAGGGGGCCGATCAATGACTCTCATCATTGATGTTTCTATCTCTCTCCCTCTCCCTTCCTCTCTCTGAAATCAATAAAAACATATTTTTTAAAAATTTTAATAAAAGAAATGCCAAATTATGTATAAAGTGGGAACTATGTGAGCATTCATGACTGGTAACTAGAATCATTGAGCTTATCACTTCAGTACTGCATTCATATCCTCAACATATATAAAGAATATTTAATCAAACAGGTTTCAGAGAATTTCAGAGTATCATATACCTATCTATCTACCTATCTATTTATCATGTCATAAAATAATAATGGTAATAATCATTTGGGTATGGCACCAAAGTCATTGCATTGAACAAAAGAAATATGTTTCCCATCGGAATATTGTCCTTGCATAATTATCATTCAACATAACGCCTGTATCGTGGTGCTAGTAAATCATGCAATGGGAGCTTTGTTGGCCAAGGGTTCCTATTACTTGGGTGAATTTTCTCAGGACAATGACTGAATTTTATTCAATGTGGAAGAATATCAGTAATTTTTAATAAGAGAATACGTGCCTAAATATGATAAATAATCAAAAAGTATCGAATTATAACAAAGTTATTTCCAGAATATACTTTGAAATTATGTATTGTTATACCACATGCATTTTAATCTGTATGAAATACATTTCATAGCAAACCCAACAAAAAATGTCTCAGTAATGGAAAAATGAATACCAAAGTATAATAAACATTGTTATTCATGTTATTTCCCTAAATTTCTGTAGTTTTCTCTTTCTTAATAACAGGCATATATATTTGCTTGACAGAACATAACAGCCATATAAGGGATGAATGGAGTACTGAAGACAAATTTGAGAGGGTGAAGACAACAAGGTATTCAAAGAAAATAGAGGATGCGGGATAAACTACCTAGAGCTATTTTCTGTGAACAGATAATGAAGAATGTGCCATCTGCACACTTATTATTTTTATAAAATCACATATTTTAACAGGTATGTCACTTACATGTTTCACTTCACTTTAATAAGGTAATTTAATAAACCAAACATGTTGATTAACTAAAATAACTGTACGTTTCTCTGAAATGACTGCAAGTACAGTATACTACAAAATGAAAATTAAAGGAAGAAAGTGGCCCCATGGCTGATGCTTTTCTTACATGTTTTATTTTAAACAAGACATCAGAAGTAAAAGATAAAGGGACTAATTTTAACATAAATATTTTATCTGAGCTTTTAGTAATTAGCATCAAATTTCAGACTCTATTAGGTATCATATTTTTGTACTTTCTTTTTGATAAAATATTCTTTTGTGTATTAATGAGAAAACCCACTGAATGACATTGAGAGGACCATGTTTCTATCTCAAAATATCATCTGTCAGTAAATAAGGAGGGGCCCTCTAGTACGTCGGTATCACAGAATACCTAACTAGAGCTGTCAATGATAATAATGGTAATATCCAGCACTTATGGAACACTCACTGAGCAACAGACGCTTTTAAGGATTCCACACATTTCCACTTAATCTTCAAAAATATCCTATGAAGTAGATACCATTACTATCTCCATAGTCAAGAAACTGAGTTTACAGAGAGGTAATGGAATTTTCTTGAAGCCCTACAGAGACTACATGGGAGAACTCAAGCTGTTTGACTTCAGATTGTACAACCTTGAATATCAGGCCTTTCTATGGAACAGTTGCCAAGCAGACTTCATCAGAATCGTCATCTGAAAGTGTGCGGGACACAACCTGTACAATAAAGTGTGGTGGCCCTCAGGGCAGAGACCTGGGTCAAACATGCAGATTCTGGCCAAAGGAAGAAGAGCCAACAACAGAGAGGACAACCAGTGAGATAATAAATTAATAAGGCTAATCATGGAAACCAACAGCAGATAAAGTTCTTCATCTGGGTCAACTGGTAAATGCTGCTGACAAGTTGAGTAAATTCAGAACACAAATCTGACCAGTGGGTTAGGCATACTAGACAAGGTTGATAGTTTTGTTAAGGGCCATCTCATCAGAATAGTTAGGACTGAAGCCTTAATGGAGTGAGTTGAGAAGAGAAAGTAAAATACCAAGAAGCAGAGCAAAGGATCAGGTCTAGAGGCTAACACGGGTGTCATGGAGGACCCTGCCAGGTTTCTCAGGCCCTGTTTGTGATTACAGACCAAACCCGACAAGGGAGTTTATGTATGACATGCAAGAGACATGATAACTGGCCTAGGGTTAAAAGAGACCAGTGTAACACATAAATCAGTAAATCAGACACAAAAAGAGACAACAGATTAAGCAAAGAAAAACAGCCTCAAGATGCAGAACACCGGGGAAATAAAAGGAAGAGGCATGAATCTGATGAGCCGTTAAATGGCAAAACCACTCTCACAGAAAAAGTCCCACAGAGAAAGTCACTGAGCTACTCCCTAGAGAGACACAAAGAATGCATGGACCGAAAGCCACTTAAGAAGAAATACAATTAAAGGGGAAGTTCTGCCCAGAGAGAATAATCTGTATGTTATGAAGGGACATTGCAAAATGCAATCTAAAAATCCAAGTATTGTAATATCCCAGTAGAGCATTACCGATAATAACAGGGGCATAAATCCAATATGTTGGATAGATGTTCTCTGAATTCCAAGTCTGTGTCTTGCTCATTTTGGCATCCCTGGAGCTCAGTGGACTATGTGGCAGCAAAGATGTTCACTAGATTGTTGTTGAGTGAGGAAGATATGAAAGTGATCAATCCTGGTTAACTCCATGGTGTGTGTGAGGAATGGGGAGAGGGAGAGCAGAGAAGTCCTTGCATTTTCACTTAATGGGGCTTGATAGTTTATTGGCGTCTCTGGGAAAGAAGACCAAGATAAAGAGAGGATGGTGGAACAACAGTGGTGGGGATTCTTATCTCCTACTTAACATGTTTACATACAGGGACCTATACATTCACAAGAAGGAAAAATTTAGGAGAATTTTTCACAAGGAGAAAAAAATTAGCATCAACCTGCTTCCTCCCTCATGTCTTGACGTCAGAGGAAAAGCAACATATCTGATCAGTGAATCTGGGTGAAGGAATGGAACATGAGCAGATGAGAAGACCCTTCCCTTCCTTTCCCAATGTCTTGAACGCAGGATGCACACTGTCTCCTCCTGCACGTGTAGCTGTTTGTTCCTACAGAGAGTTTACAGCTGGGTAGTTCAGGGTGAGCGCACTCAGTTTTGGTGGAAGGTATTAATAAGTCCAAATGAGTTCTTAGTACCGAGTCACTTTCCAGTCCACCTTTATAATTAATAAAGGTAACCTTTGATCTCCATCTGCCATATCTCTACACCTACCTCTCATTAAGCTCGGATGAGGGAATACAGGGTGTGATCAATGATCACACTGAAATCTTCATCACAATCTAAGCCACAGAGTGAAGCGCCTTAATTTCCACCAGAAGGGATTTAAGGGACTTTAGGAAGTGCCAAATGGCATGAACAACGACTCTGTTGGACACTATTTGTTGAGTAGACTATAATTAAGTTATACACGGGGGGGGAAACAGCTGGTTTGCTTTGCATACGCTAAAGGGTTTTCAGACATTGTGGTCAGGCTTGTCCCTTCATAAAAATATAGGTGAGAATGGAAAGGAAAGTAGGGAGATGTACAGAGAGTGCAGGCAAGTTGGTTACACCTTTGGAATAAAGGCAGAACTCAAGTTATTACCAGGTGCATTTAAGGAGCCAAGACAAGGGAGAGGTCAGCTGATATATCAAATATTCAGGTCCCATAAAGACAGAAAAACATTAGTTGAGAGAAGACTGAAAAAAACTCTACTTCTGGATAGCAGGACAAGTTTCAGAACAGAAATATTCACAAATTAAAATGCCTTTAGCAGAAAAATAGATGAGCTTCTTGAGTTTGTTGGTATTGAGCAGAGAAAAAACTATTGTAGAAGAAATGATGGGAAGAGAGAAGCCTGCAAACCTTCCAAATAGTTATTTTCATATTACATGTTATTTTTCATGATGAAAAGTACTGAAACAGTGAAATATGATCCATATCAAAAGGTGTCTTTTTGAAGAGCTATTTGAGAGAGACTGTTTTCCTCATATAATATGCCTTTCAAACTTCCCAAAATGATGCTGGCAGCTTCCAGGGGCCTTGTGTATCTTGAAGGAAATAGATTTTTCTGGGTAATAAGATTTAATCAATTCCTATTATTAGAATTATAATTTCTTTAGCTTGCAACCTGAGAAGAGTATGACATAAACAATTTAAAGTAGTAAGACTTTTTAAAAATGTTCCTTATAGACAAGGATTTCTTTACCTTCATTTATTCTTAATGTTACAAAGCATCAACAGTTTATCTTCAACAGAATAGATTTCAAACAGAAATCAAGGTTTGAACACTCAACTATTAATATTCACTTAAGCATAGCAGATGACATGCAAAACAACGATTTCACTTCAGACAGGGGCCAGATATTCACTGGGGTATGGTTACTGTAAATTGGCTGCTTATTAAAATGATGGTTTGTTTTAATAAAACATATTTATCACTGGAAATTGGCAGTTGTGTTACACATTTAAACTCAGGTTAATGTACACTAATATTTTTATCCCTGATCTGCATAAATAATCAGAATTTCCTTTCAGTATTGATTATTGATTGAAGAAAAGAAAGTCGACAGGGTATCATTTATTTAAAGATTACATTCCCTACATTCCCTTAATGCTACATGATTCACTAAAGCAAAATCTGCATTCAACTTATAATAATGTTTTTGAGATAGATGAAAATGGTTTGCATCAGTTTGATTTCATTATTAAAAGATAGTTCTTTAAAATAAGGAGTAATTGAATTGGAAAATTCCCTTCTCATTTAAATTTATTTCATTTTTTTAAATAAATTTAAGTGGCCTGTGACTAAGTTGGCATTTTTGCAATTAGAAAGTTAAAATTCAAAGAGAAAAAAGAAATAACTAATAATTAACATAATTAAATACCTCATTATGCAACCTAATAATAGTATTACGATCTCCTTATCTCACACAGTTCAAACGATCAGTAACTACCCAGTAAATATAAAGAACATTAATGTGAATTAATTTTTATATAATTCCAAAGATCTTATGAAGTACACTGGGTATATGTAACATAGACACTCATTTCATAATTCCATCTCCAGTTTTTAAAATATTGCCTTCCAAATCTTATAGTGAGGTTGCGTGGGGGAGGTTATTCTGACATTTTTGTAATTCATTTCAGAAATATTTATTATTTCAAGATCCTCTTCTATATTTATTCTTAGGATGCTTGTTTGCAAATAACAGAACCCCAGTTTGGATGACCTTTTGGAAGTTACTGAGGGTGTCCTTAAATAAAAGGAAGAACCGATTGATCATGGCTGAGCCTTGTGTATAAATTGATGAGCAGGCAGAGAAAGTAGGCCTGCGAACAGGAGACAAACAGGCATGCAGGGGAAAAAATACTCCCCAGCCTTACTTACTGCCACTTCAGCAAATGAAGAGAAACAGATTTTCTGTGTTCTGACTACAAAAGATGTGGAGGAGAGTGAAGACTCACAAGCCCAACTTCCATTAGATGCCCGCACTGAGCAGGAAGCCTATACGATTGAAATATTATAACAATTACATGGCTCATGGAAGTAGTTTCCACAAGAAGGGAGTAGAAGTTGGCAAGATGGGCAGGGCAGACAATCTCACAGACATTCACCAGGCTGGGAAAGCAGATGGGAACTGTGCAGAAGTAGCAAGCGATCCCACTTGGTTGAGTAACAGGCTAACAACCTAGGGAAACAAGAGGCTGGGATGATGGACAGTAGCGGACTAAAGGTGAAGGCGAATTTTGGATTATTTTATATAGATTGCATCACATGAAAAGATACTTTTGTAGATAAAAGAGATCAAATATCAGTGATTTCATATGAAACAGACATTTCTGTGGTTCAAAAATGGATGAATAGTGGTAATTTTATAAGTTTCAGGGTAATATCTTATTTAGAAAGCAATGGGTAAACACTGCTATTGATAAGATAGAGCAACAGGACCAAACAGGGTAGGAAATAAAACAGAACAGAGTGCGATCATAACGAGAAAGGAGAAACGACTCTTGCTTACTGATTCACCACTGTACCAGGCATTATATTTTATGTCAGGGAACCTCTTGGAAAGCTTTGTCTTTGTAAATTTTTTTGATTCCTACAGGGCTTTAAAAGGAAAAGCAATTAGGTTAGGCCTGATCACAATATGAACAGTTCAGAACCTACTATTTCACATCTAGGTTTTAAATCTGAAGTTATTTCAAATTTTAAAAATGTTTTTAAAAATAGTCAAGCCTGAATCCATATACCATGCCTGCCACCGCTATGCTGTATGACCCTGTACAAATCACGACACAGATCTCCTCACTTGTAAAATAAACATATAGTCACACTACCTGCTTCATAGGGTTCCTCTAATGACAAATCCTGCAATAACACTCTAACACTCTGTTCTTATAAAGCCATTAATAACCACAATTATCATCATTTTGGAGATAACTACTGTGAAGAAAAAACACATAACTGAACACTCCTTGAGCACTATTTTAATGATATACTGTAAGTGGAAAATAAATGGCATGGGATTTTCACCTAACTGAGTAATCAGCAGCCTGCAATTTAAAGAAACTGAGGTTTTATTTATCATCATGATTTATATTCATGACTATGGTTCTCTTACCGTCGATATCTTCGTAAGATGCATATGAACGTTTTTTTGGAATAACTATAAAATCCGATACATTTAAGATAGGATTCTCTCCAAGAAAATCACCAGTCACTGTGACTTCCACCTCCTTTTCTATCCGTTTCCTGGCCTGACATTTTATGATAGCTACAAGAAAAGAATATCTCCAGTTAATTTGACTATTAGGTTATATGATCATTCTTGAGCTAGAAGAAAGTAAATTATTAAATTATATCATGAAAAATAAAAGTTTCCTTGGCATACTTTGACTTGACATTGCACCTGTCATTCACACACACACACACGCTAGATATATATATTGACATTTTGTAATAAAATATGAATATTAAATAATATGCAAAAATAGAATGACAATAGATAAATCTGGAAGATATAAATTAGGTAACAGAAGACTGCACTAGGATGTAGAATCTTATTCGGAAACTGACCTAGTTATATCAATAATTCAACTGGTGATCAAGAACACATGAATGTTTTAGCTTTCTATATGTTCACTGTGGTAAATACCAAACTCTATTATATAATTATACTATAGCAGATACCTTCAAATAATTAAAAAAGTTCTGTAACCTTTATTTTGTACAACAGTTTAAAAATATTCCCTACTATATTTTTTATTTACATGCACCTTAAAATTCCTTTAAATAAAATATTTCAATAAATATTTTAATTTTCACTTGTAAATTGCTCTTAAATTTACACAATACACCATTAACAGTTAAAATTAAAACTTTAATAAGTTATTTAAAATTAATATTAAAATGTGAATATATATTAATGTATAGCATAAAAAATTTATATTTAGCCCTGGCTAGGTGGCTCAGTTGTTTGGAGCATTGTACCATACACCAAAAAGGCTGTGGGTTCGATTTCCGATCAGGGCACATACCTAGGTTGCGGGTTCAGTTTCTGATTGGGGCTCATAAGGGAGGCAGATGATTGATGTTTCTCTCTCACATTGATATTTCTCCCTCTTTCTTTCTCTCTCTCTCCCTCCCCCTCTTCCTCTCTCTCTAAAAATCAATAAAAATGTCCTCAGGTGAGGATTTAAAAATACTTTATATGTATATATATATTAAATTCCAATATTTTCTTATATCAAGTACAGAAGAAGTCAGGGATCTTGTGAGAAATCAAAATGTTTTTATGTAACGACTAATTATATAAAGCTGTATTAATGTATGCCTCTGGCATTAGCTATAGATTATATTATGGGACTATGTATACTAGAGTCCACATAAATAGGAATATTATTTCTCCAAAATATATTAAACGTTATATTTTTATCACTTTAGATGAACACAGGATATAAATTTAATATAAGGGATAAAAAGTGAACCACAATACTAAAAAAGCTTTTGAAATGTATTATGCTATGCTTTTGTGGCATCAATAATAACATATTCACCTAGACTGCAAAACTGCATAATGTCCTCAGGTTTAAGTGCTTTCACAATACATACCACATTTATAGTATAAAAATGTTTAAAATAAATTTGTTTTTAATTCTGAATTTTGCAGGTTGATAGTGAACATTTTGGACTTGGAATAAATGTGAAATGTACAATAAGGGTACAAAGTTAGATGTAAATTAATAAGGTTGCAATGACTGAGGAAAATGCACAAGCTTTTCTAGTTATCATTCGCTTCGGTCTTAAAGCATTAAGTTGGAAATCAGTGTGATCAACCTTACAATTAGTGTCATGTCACTGGTCTTGTCCTGTGAGTCCTTAGGAAGTTAGTGCCCTGACAATGTAAGGATCATGAAATCACAGTGGATTCACATTCCAATGTAGCTCAACTGTGACAAGTAGTGGAGACCTTTTCCAATTATCTGCCCCAGTGGACAGGAGCAGATAAGAATCCACGGAGAGAACAAAACAACAAAACAGAACAAAAGTACCCTGGGTTCCAGAGTAACCTGAGTGATAGATACATAAGAAAGAAAAGAAACAATAAACATCGATGGTGATACAGCTGAGTTGGGAAAGCAACAGGTTATCTTTAATGTGTTCTTAAGAATGCAGAATGGACTGTACAGAAAGTAAATAATGTGTAATTATAAAATTACACCTATTTGTTTCTCGAGGACATTTGTAGATAAAAATAATTATTAGAATAGGTTTTAGACTTTTGTAAAAATGATTTAATCATTAGTACACAATCTGTTTCAGAACACTGATGTTACTATTGGGTCGGGCTAATGCAACTTGGGCTATTTACAGAACTCACATTTAATTTAAAAACAGAATAACCAAGAAATATGACTGGATAGAAAGTGCCTTTATGTTTCTGGAGCATGTTTAATTTTCATTGAAGGGAACTGTACAAAAATTATCTTTATGTTCTCAGAGGCTTTGTTTTAGACTGAAAAAAAAATTAAATCTTTGCCCTGCTGGTGTTGCTCAGTGGTTGAGCATCAACCCATGAACCAAGAGTTCACCAGTTTGATTCCCGGTCAGGGCACCTGCCCGGGTTGAGGGCTCGATCCCCAGTAAGGGGTGTGCAGGAGGCAGCCGATCAATGACTCTCATCATTGATGTTTCTATCTATCCCTCCCTCTCCCTCCCTCTCTTTCTAAAATTAAAAAATA